ACACAGCCCAACGGGGATTGCTGGATCTCCCTGGATCTCGTGGAACACTCCTGCATGCCTAGCCAGCCATCTCGACACACAAATGCAATCCTGCTGCTCTTGGCTTGATTTTGGTATTCCTTTCCTACAAGTTATTAACTTCTCATCTAGTTTTAGCAACAAAGAACAAGCAATCTTGGTAAAATGGAATATAGTATAAAAAACAATTAATCTTTAAAAGAACAGCTCCAAAATTACTCTTCTGTTTTGGGGAGCATACAGGCAGCCTTTAATATGGTCTCACCAACCTCTGCTACCACCCTGCCTGGCAGCAGCCAGCACTTGACTCCTGTCACATGCAGGAGACAGCTGTGTGAGTCAATGTCCTGTCAGTATCAAACACACTACTAAACAAAAAATATCTCTCAACAGCACAGGAAAAAGCTAAAAAAAAAAAATTTTAAAAAATCAGAATTCTGTTCATTAGATGGCCCCCAATGGCTCTGCTCTCTGTACATATACGGAGCTAAGATGTGTTACAAAAAGGTGATCTAAGGGGCACTGTGGACCTGGAGCCTAGAAACTTAGCACATATAAAGCTTTGTTGGAAACTACTTTTACCAGCCTTTGATTCACAAGGAAGGAGGCCTTGAAATATGTCCAAAGACAAACATTTATCCTCTTCTAGGTTTCTCTTTGCACATACATTTGGACAAATACAAACACAAACGCAAATACAAACAATATAAAACAATTGAATAATTTTTTTGCAGATTTTCAGCCTCGTTATATTGAAAGGAAAATGAGACATCAATAACATTTTCTAATTACTCAGTCTAAAATGTTCATTCTATCTCCACATGTAAAATCACCGTGAAATGCATCTGTGCAGCAAAAGAATATCTGAAGAGCCCAGCACTGTTCCCTCAGGCTAGAGCCTGGTGTTCCAGCACAGCTCTCCTAAGGTTGTTAGACACATCCTTGACCAGCCTGTAGTCTCTTCTGACTTGGCTACAGTTTTCCTTCCCTGTACACAGTCATTGCTCAAAAACTCTGGCCAGTGACATGAAGCGTTTTACAGAGACCACTTGGAAAGAGATTTTTTTGAAGCCTCATTCAATTCTTTTGAGAAAAATGAAATACAGCCTATTTCAGACCTGCTTCATCTCCTGGTTAGGCAGACTCTAATACTTAAAAAACCCTGAAACTCAGTTCTTTCAAAAGCCATTGTTTTTAATCAATCTTAAAAAAAAAAATAAATCTTTGTAAATTCTTTCATTCTGTTTATCTCCTACCACCATAAAAGTAGCAACTCCACAGTCACGTGTTCTAGATGTACTCTTAATATGCCAGTGTCTTTGCTGATATCCGGCTTCTCTGAAAAATTTCATCATTAGTTTGCTCGTATGAATCCTTTCTCTTCTGTTCAAATCGGACTGCAAGATACATTTCAACTGCACTCAGATGATCCTCACTGAAATATGGTGTGATGAAAAATGTCAGAGCTGTGTTCTTATCTACATCAGTATCTAAAATTTCTGCTGTAATGTGAAGGTACCAAATAGCTTTAAAAAAAAAAAGTATCTTTTACAGAAGAGGTTAAAATCTTTCATGTTCACCACTGTTCTAATGGATGTCTAGCTTCCAGGCTCTCTTAGTGAAATTTTCAGCTCTATTGTGTGCAGATACCAAAGAAACTTCTCTTGGAGGCATCATCAAAATGCTAAAGAGATACAGTTTATTTCGTTCCACTCATTGGGTACTGCCTGAACTACGAAGAACACAAAAACATCCCTTTCCAAATGACACAGTCATCCTGTTCCTAGCTAGCTATTGACTATCTAAAATGAAACCATTAACTTCTAATTTATTTATTCAGTCAAGTCTGGAGTTAATCTGCTTTGCAAGAAAAAAAAAAAGGACAAATAAACAAAAAACATATTTTCGAAGACAAAGAATTCAGCATGCAGCACTATTTCAAACAATCCAGACTACATATGACAGAAATACTAGGGAGTTATGACTGACACCTTCTGAATATGTCAGAAATGCACTCAGTAAGAGCATATGCCCAGTAAACTGTACACCCTTTGCAGATTAATGGATTTTAAGGCTAAAAGTGATGATTAGATCCTCCAGTTTGCTCTCTGCTATCTTTCCAACCAGAGAATTTCTAACAATTATTTCTGCATATTTTATAAGATGCACAAGGAGCAAATAACTTCTATATGGTTAGAGCAAATCTCCCAGAAAGGCACTCAGTTATGACTTGAAAAGTTCAAAACCTAGAATATCTGTCACTTTCCTTGGCAATTTTTCAAATCCATAATCACCAACACCATTAAGAAGTCAAGCTCAGTTTCTAATTTTGATTCAGCTCCCAGCTATAGTGGGTCTTTCTCTACTAAAGCGCTTTTAAGTATTTTCTCCCTATGAGGAGGCTTCTTCACTACAATCAAGTCGCCTCTTGATCTGCATTTTTGAACAAGAAATTATACTTTTTTCAGGGTTATTTTCCACTGAGATTGCTACACTGATTTTGTTTATAGTGTGGTCCCACGAACACAACAGAGGTCATCGGGGACTGCAGAAGAGTAGTAGAAATAAGTGACTGTGGAGGACTTCTTAAACTGATTTTGCTGCCAAGGAAAGCTCCATGGGACAGAGATCTAGGTCACCTACCGTGCGCTGTTGTCTCCAGCCCTCCTGTAACATTTGCTGCTTTTCTTCATAACTGATGCAAGCTCACCTGTTAGAAACATGGATGTCTACAAGACAATAGTCTAATATAGTTCTTGAGTTCTGACAACCTCCACCAATTTATTCAGTTCTGTCAGATAGCGAGATCTGAACCCAAATAACATGCCCTTCATTAATATAGTGTACTACAATATTGATATTTAAATGAGAGCCATGTGTCATTAAGGAGGTATAGTACACATCCAACTTGTTAAAAATAATTCACTTTCCTGAACGCTTGAAGTAATCATCCCCATGTGGAATATGAACTACCGTCTATAATCATAACACTCTGTACAACTTCTAAAAAATTGAGTTAGTATGTCCATCTTCTATGTGACAGCAGTATCAGGAAAGACAAACAGTGCTGCCTTGGCCAAAGGCAGCAGATTACTGGGCATGAGAAGGAAACTGCAATGGAAAGGTACAGATTCCTCCTGCACAGGCCATCCAGAAGCAGAAGGAAGCAATGCCCTGGTCTCTCTTAGAAGATTTCTGCCCTTCTGTTTCCCAATGCACAACATTTTCCCACACAAGTTAGCATAGTCAACACTTGCACCAACGTGCTGACGCTTCTTCAGGAAATTTGCTGTGGGCAAAACATTCACAGCTTAGGTAATGTTACCTGATTTAATTTATTGCCAGCTAACACACACTTTAAATTACTGATTTGGATATTGACAAAAAACCCCCACATAAGCAAACACTTATGGAAACATCCTTCCTTCCCCTTCTCTAGGCTCAGCTACCTTTTCTCCCCCTTCCTACTCTCAACTCTCTTGTTTCTACTCTGAGTAAGTTGGTTCCTCCCAATTCCTTCAGTGAGGCAATGGGCTGTGCAGGAGGTTGGGGTCATCTGTGGAAGTGTTTCTTTCTGCCACTCCTTGCTTATTCTTTGCTTTCTTCCCTTGCTCCTTACTTGTTTTCTTCTGCCCTGGCATGGGTCATATATGGGCTGCAGTCCCTCGGGGTGTCCATATCTGGCATGTTTTAACATTTAAACTGAATATTCTCCTGCTGTTTTCCTAATTACAAATTCCCTCAAGAAAGCATAAAGGTTATTTTGAAGGCCATAAAAACACTGAGATAATTCTGTGGAAGGGTTGATCTATTTACCTGTCCTTAGCTATACATTTCTTGTCAAAATAGACAGATAGATAAATAAATATATAGCTATTTCTATAGTTCTACTAGGAGCATATCCAAGTTTCAGATTCTTATTCAACTAATATCTGAGGATTTGATTTGAGGATTTTGTTAATATGTTGTACATTAAAAACCAGAAGACTTCAGACTACCACTTAGACTAAAATAAAAATATCAAAGATGAAAAACCTGACATTAAACACATTCTTTGGTTTATAACAGTGACAGAAGGAAATACATTATACTGCAGTGTTCTTCATTAGATGAGCAATGAATTAAACCTGTGCAGTTCAAGACATGCAAAGATAATACGTCTCAGGTCTCTGCTAAGCGACAGGATCACACGGAATCCCGTGAAAAGGCAAGAACCTCAGGAGGTCTCCAGACCAACCTCCTGTTGGGAGCAGGGTGCACTGTGAGGCCAGACCAGGTTACTGAGGGCTTTATCCAGCTGGGTCTTTAAAACTTCCAAGTAATTTTTCTTCAGGATTACAGAAGCCTTCTAACTATAAATAAAGTTAGGAAACACACTATGTGCAGCACAAAAATCCAATTGCATCAGTTAGACCATATGTAAATAGGTCTGTGCTTTATTGCTAATTTACTATGCAAATACAGAAACCCTGTCACTATAAAAATATGCTAGACTGAAGTAACCTCTCAACAAGCCTTGTGATTTTGTTAAGTAATTAAAGTCCATATTGGGATTCTTTAATGAAATAGAGCACCATCAACTGGTAAAATTCTCTTATATTATTATTCATGCTTATACCAAAAGCACCATGTGGAATTAAACTGTAATTGATTCTTGAAAGAACGCTTGCTCAATATCATTACATTGCCATTGGGTGTGTAGCACTGCTTCACGGAAGCAAAGCTCAAAAACTGTTGTAGTAACTGATGACAAATAAGCTATCGTATGTTATTGCCCTCTGTGGTTAATGAGCTACTATATTCCTAGAATAAAAATAAAAACAGTAGGGTAAGAATATGCCTCAAATGGGATTCAGAAACATTTACAAGGAGAAATTGTGATCTCAGAATAATGAGGTTTAAAAAAGAAAAGAACAAAACTAGTTTAGGTAGAAAGAGAAGAAGACAAATATATAAACTGAAAGAAAAATGTATATACTTACTTTTGGCAATGCATATTTTGGCAACTTCATCTGTACAAAACCATTTCGACGGTAAGACACATAATACTTGGTCCGATTTGCTGATGTTGTCTATACAAAGCAAAAACAAAACCTTGTGATAGTTTAAGTCTAAAGAGTCTGAGATGGAAGACATTTTTTTTTCTTTCTAACCTGCAACTGAAATACATAGCTATCACTTTTATGGCATGTGATTAATTTGCACAGTGTACTCCTGAAAGAATAAATCAAAAGTTATGACAAAATAGACTCCAAATAGACTCAAACTCTTTTGCTCTCCTCCTCTTTATGAAGAAAAAAGTGATTTACTTCCCTCTTTTGCCATTTCAGCTGTCTTGGGTGATACCTGAGACTTCAGCATCTCACTGTCCCCAGTCCTTACTGGTATCTCTGTACCCACTGGCATCCCGTATCTTTGCCCTTTCATGGGATTCCAGGCAGCAACACCCTCCAGGTAAGAGGTAGGGAGGAGGTACACTGGCCATGAACATCAGGTACTTCAAGACAAGTGGAACTCCAACAGCACAATTCAAAGCAGAGCACAAAAGGCTGAATAAATCACGCTAACATATGTAAAGCGTTCACTATATTTGACTAATATTTTCTATACAAGATAAAACATTTCCCAGTGCAAGATGCTGACATGCCACATAGAAGATAATGATGCAATTCTGAATCCATTGGTCAGTCAGTTTGAAAGTCAGTGATATATCCTAAAGACACAATTATATGCTTAAATAGAGAGGTAAACACGTATTTCAACTGCTTGCATGTGTGGAACTGAAGGCAGATTAGGTTTTATGTAAAATACATGGGGGCTTATGAAGATTTTCACTAAAGAAAGCCAACAGAAACAGGCATTGAAAGGAACACCACTGTATGACTATGACCATTAGCCCCTTTCTCCTCTTTGTTATAGCAGATACACTGGTCATTTTAAGACTTTTACCTTATTCACAAAAAACCCCAATGCAAATACTGTTCCAAAGTACGAAAAGGAAGATTCTAAATAAACATTGATGAAAATACTCAACTAACAGCCTCCCTAGGTTTTTCTAGTTAGAAATGTAATACCAAAATCTGTGCTGGTATATAAATCGGCACATTACCAACTAAGCCTCTTGAGCACCATCAGATGAGATTAGCAAAGGTTTTAGGCTTTGGTAGATAATATTTCACATTTTTTCACGTGTCCGTCCGTTGTGTCCTGTCGTCTCGCCCCCCGAAGATCAGCTAGGTAATGGCTATTCAGACATTTTCACTAAGTTTATAAAGGGTGGCTGCTTTACAGGAATGGACTGGCCGAAAAAGAAAATGGGAGAAGTGAAATGTCCAAAATTTTTCTCTGGTTGTCCTTGAGAAATCAGATTGTGGAACAGAAGCACAAACAGACTCACCTTTTCTCTTTGATGCAGGGAATCCATTTAAAACCCTACCCCAATCTCACTGCTTTTCTCCTCAACTTTTGTGTTTAAAAAGGGAACCTGATTTGGAAGACAGTCTATCCTGAAGCATGCAAACTTGGCTTGGCAAAAATAGAGTTGATGCATGACAGCAGGTCCACCTGCCTGAATATTTTAAAGATATCAAGTATTTAATATTGTAATAATTTTCACTCTTTCTTGAAACCAATTTCCTTTTTTTTTGTGGTAGAAAAATGTGATGCCCTTTAGGAATCTGATTTCTTAAACGATGGATTAAACCCAAAACCTCACCATTTATTTAATTAGTGTTAAATAGCAGTCTTATCCACCTTTTCATAGCCTTCTTGTTCATTATGCATTTTTTGGTCACTCATTTTAAATGACTGAAGATGATGCAAGGCAGCAGAGAATCGGAGTTGAAGCAGCTAGTGGTGTCAAGCCTCACTGACATTAACGGCTGGTCTGTGGTTAAAAACAGTGTTGAATCTTTAATCCTCCTACTAAAATCACCTCTGAAACTGTCTGACTGTTGGTGCAAACTAGAAAAGAAATGAGTATTAGAAAGTTCCTGATCTTTGTGGATATAGACATATTAAAGAAATGGGGTTGAGATCTTCCTCTAAGATGGTAAAAGTCTGAGATTTGGGCGAGGATTAGCAGTGCAGACCTGCAACGCTCTGATTCACAGCTGCACAGCTCAGGGGATGTGAGTGATGCCAGGGGCAATAAGACAGTTTCAAACTCTCCTCTCTTTTTGCACAGATGATTCTGTCCCATCCTCTTTCTGACAGATATTGATGTGATATTAAGAGGAGTCCCTGGTCTGATTCTAACTTATATAGCAATATTTTAACTTATATAGCAATATTTTAGTCTAATGATAAACAAATTTCCACGTGGTTTCAAAAGTATGCTGTTTCTCAGGTGTGCAGCTGCTCTGTGGTTTCACTGGAGCAGGTAAAGTGTCCTGCATTACACCTTAGGGGTGGATGTGCTTCAGATGTGACTGTAGGTTCCCAGAGTTATATTCTATCCTGCAGTAATATAGATAGGGCTAACTGTAAACCAATGTAGCAGTAAGAGAGATTTATATTACATACTGTGATTTACTGCAGGTAAGTCTGAAAGGAAAAGACTAGAGATATTTCCCCTTTTTTGTGGAACACATGCACATCTCACCTACTGGCACTGACATGTCTCAAAACTATAGAGACTACATTACCAATGCCATCATTTTGCTATTAGCAACTGCCTATTACTTTATGTGCATATTTCCAGGTTGCACTTCCATTTTGTGTCTGCCCATGCCTGGCATGAGACAGAATAACAACAGCTCGAGATGCAATTATACAAGACATCCGGCAAAACAAAATGCTTGAAGAGGAAGCAGCCAGTGTTTTGCTGAGCAGAGCAGTCTGGAAGTTCACATGGTGAGAAGCACTTCTCACCGTCTACACACTGTGAAATGGATTTTAGAGTGTGCCTGGGGGGGAGCCACAGAAAATAATACCTTTGAGCAAAATGAGTCCCATGAGTACTAGACCTGAGCTGAAAAATGCCTACTTTAATTCAAAAATTCTTTCCCAAATCCATTTTGCTGTTTCTTTGTGGTGCTAAATGTTCTAAGCCATGTGTGCCCTTGAATCCTCTGTGGCAGACAAGAGGAGGACAGATCCTTTGTGTCTCTATTAATTTACAGATCCTTTTGGAAGAAACAGCCACAAGGGGTGAAAGCTGCAAAGAAGCCAATCAGATGTATCCAGAGGCAGCGGTGGGGAGACCTATCCATTGCTGTGATATTGCGTTCCTGCAAAAGTCAATAAATAGACAAGCCTTGCAACAAGCAAATCATATCAAAGTAAGGGAAAAATGACAGCCAACCACTGAGGAAAGTACAAGCAACTTCCCTAGTAAAATCTTAAAAAAGAGGGAGCACATAACTGTTCTTTGAGAATTTTGCAGCTCTGATGATAGATTCAAATCACAACCAGTCCTGAGCACATAAAACGAAATTTTCAAGTGTGCCTGAGCTGTACTGGTGCCATAAGGCTAATGGAGTTCCAGCCCAGGTTTCTGCATGCAGGTCTTGTAGTTTGGGAATGAAATAACCCCAATGTAATTTGGACCATCACAAGTTGTAGACATGCCATTTAGGGACATGGGTTAGTGGTGGACTTGGCAGTGTTAGGTTTACAGTTGGACCCAATAATCTTAAGGGTCTTTTCGAACCTAACTGATTCTGTGATTCTATTCCAAGTTGCTCCAAACTCCCCAGCTATGGCCATTTCACCCTTTCACTTCCTAAACACAGTCATATAAGTTCTTTCCTGGCAAAACCTCTTCAGAGAAGAATCCATATGAAGAAGCTGAGCCACTACTCTCTCAGTGGCTTTCCTTGGATGCTCTTCTCAGGGAACCTTTTTGTGCTATGGAGGTACTAGAAAGGACCCAGAAGAGGTTGTAAGTGTAAGAACAAAAGGGTTGCATTTTGCCTAACACACAAAACTATTCATAAAAAGTAACTTTGAACCACACAATCCACTTCAAAATTTTCATATAGTTAAAGCTAGGTCAGTGATAAATTAAAATCAACCATATAGACAACTGGTTGCACAAATTAAAGATGCATTGGTTTTTTTGACTGATAAAGTAATGCTTTGTTCCATGTAAAAATTCATAAATCATCATTCACAGTCTGGAACAGCTTTCTCCATCCTCCTAAATTACAATTTTGCTGCACTGTTCAAATTTTTATTTTTGATTTTGAAAATGTGCTGTCTCTCCAGAAAGTGGCAGTACCTGAAGAAATATGTAGTCATCCTGCACGGTCAGGGAATCCCGATCAGTGCCACCAGCAAACTGGACTGTCATTGTCTTTTCAGAGCAATTTTGAATCTGGCAAGTGATGTAGCGATAACCTGAGGGAAGAGAGACAGAAACATATGACAGGGCTATCAAGGGAAAAAGAAGCAAGCAGTTTAAAATGTTATTCATGTAGGGAAAGCACTGCCTTTGCCAAGTGAGTTAGTTGTAACCCTCATACAAGAGTTTTTCAATCTCCAATGTACTGAGAATATATTAACTGCTTACAGTTCAGATCATTCCCGGGAGGCAGCCTGTTATTATCCAAATTTTGCTGGTCCAGAGAGATTAGGGGTTAGATGAATGAGACAGTCATGGGTGGGGATAATAGAAGGAGCCACTTCTCTCACTTAACCTATGCACAGAGCCAAATTATTCACTTGGACAAATGGCAGCCTGACACAACATAACTGAAATCAATAGATCAACCCTAGTATAAAATTGTGATGAGTGAGAAGAGAATCAGACTCCGTTTAATAGACAGCATGCAGAATTTTAAAGACTATTTTCAAAGCTCTGTAGGGAAGTTAAGATACACTATTAACACACTATTGGAACTGCTCTGTTGGGGCAGGACTTCTATAGTCAGAGTTAATATCTTGCTGAAAAAGCCTGGACTGAATTATATCAGTGGAGGCTATGGCCTCTCTCTTCCTCTCCAGTTAGCAATGGGCAAGGAATATTCTCTCTGCCTGGGCTGTTAGAACAGTATCACTGCATCTTTGATGCAATCTGCTCTAATCAGAGAGAGCAGAGCCAATAATCATATCTTACACCAGCTGTGGCCCAAAGACCTTCTCCTAGATTCAAGCCCTTGTACAGCTCACCCTTCATCACAAGCTTCTGAGCACTTGAGTGACTTTCCCAAACGAAGTGAGAAAAAATGTTATACACACAATCCTGTGTCCAGATCACTAATTTTCCCCACACTCCAGACACAGTATGAAAGAGCAAATAATGCACTCCTACATCCTTCATTACTTTTGCAATGTGATAGAAAATGCATTCCACACTTTGTGACTTTTAATTAGAAAATGCCAAAACAGTACACTAGATGATAGAAATATTTGTTTTAAAATCTGAATCTGTTTAAGAGGCAGCTGGAGTCAATCCAAGTTCTCCTGCTTATGTCCAAATCATCACCACAAGGATATTTGAGCAAGCGCAGCAGCGGGCCATTGAAAAGTCTTGCAGCTATTCTTAATTCACATGACAAGCATTACAGTTCTTCATCAGATAGGTAGCACAAAGATGCTGTTTCCACTAGAATCAATGCTGATGCTTGTACTGACCATAAGTGCACAAAGTCAGTTTGTCGAGAACCCAACCAGGAGATATTTCATGAGAGTTTTTCTTTTTCTGCTGTTTCTGTTAAATAAAAAAAATTCTTTCCATCCAGCTCCTGAAGAATCCACACTGTGTCTAAACAGAGCAGCTGATAGGGCTGTGTAGGGGTCACCATGTCTCAGAAATCTCACTGCTAAAAGATTTAGAAACTTTTTCATCCGGATTTTAACATGGTAACTTTATAGGGCTGAAAGGAAGAAAAGCTACTGGATCAGGGAAAGTAAAACCATGCATTCTTTACAGCTCATTTTTAAGACTGCACAGGAACTTAGATGATGTGATTCAAGGAATTAAATTATCTTTCAAGAGTACAATTGGTAACAAGAAACTATACAAGCTTTTGGAATCATGGTGAGTCTTTAGTACAGCACATCCTGACTGCTAATCTGCTTTTTCATTTATTTTCCTTTTGAAGTCTCAAAGTATGCTGGATACTGTAACATGAGGAAATTCCGGGAGACAGTGGTTAGTGCAGCAGGACTGACATACACAATGATTCACTTTAACAGACACTTACCCAGCACTAACACTGCATTGCCAGTTTCATTTGCAAATCAGGAAAAAATGTTCAATGTTTAACTGCCAGAATAAATTGCACTATTAATGGACATTTTCAACAGAGCATAGCATCTTGACGTCAATTCATCTTAGAGTGGAAAACAAGTAAATTTTAAATTATACTATATTTTTATACAACAGGACATCTTTGCTGACTACAGATAAGCAGAAAATGAATCTGACTTGCACAATTTCTCTTCCGGCTAGTTTTAAAAACAAAAAGTACACTCTAAAACAAAGAGAAATGACTGTACACTAGGGTATCAATTGATAACATTTTCATTTGCATACCTCCACTGGGGTCCTGGATTTCCATATGAACTAAATCAGGGTCTCTGTCAACTCCAGCAACGGCCCTGAGAACATAATATAATCAAGTTATGCAGAGCCAGCTATAGAATAGTAATTATGTGGATGGAAGAAAAGAGAGGATTTCATACTAAAAAGCTTTAACATTCTAGCTGGGAAATTAAAATAAACCCCATTTATAATGTCCTATTACTAACATCTAGAAGGAAACTATTTTTTCTGTACTTGACACTATGTTTTTCTTACATGTCTTTAGAATCTCTTTCACTAAAATATGCATACAAATAGGATCAATTGGAGAAAAGAACAGAAATAGATGTGAAATTGGAAACAAAACTTCATAATCATAAATTGATATATATATTGATATATATACACACACACAGATATGCACACATTCACATGCACTGGCAAGCGCTAGAGCATCTTTTTACAATTACGTTTGACATTTGAGACTACAAGGCAGATTTAGTGCTAAAAAAGACTTAGATTCCATTCTTATTAGAAATATCTTAAACTTGACACACAGCTTCCAAAACAAATTGATATATCTTTGGTTAGTATATTCAAGAGAAGAGTATATTCTGCCTTGACAAAGGAAGAAGGTGAAGAATAATTTTGAGAAGAATATCCTGAGAAGGAAATTCAGTCAGAATTGATCAAGGTGCAGTTTAACTGTGAAAAGGTGTAATGGGAATACAGGCTGATTTTCTCTTAATAACTCCCATGTCAAATATACTCAGCCAAAAGATGAGTTTTCTATCCTCAGGGCTTCCATCGCAACCTGGGAACGGCAGCCCCAGCTGTGGTTTTTTCTGGCCCTTCCATTGTCATTAGTCAGGCAGATTCTGCAGAGAAAGTTTTGAGATGACAGTTGTGCTGTCACTAAGCGAAGCAGAATCCGGCCCCACTAGCAGAGCTACATTGCTCTTCACAAGGCTCTTCACTGGTGCGTGTGCTGGTTTTGGCTGGGGTAGAGTTAATTTTCTTCATAGTAGCGAGTATGAGGCTATGTTTTGGATTTGTGCTGAAAACAGTGTTCATAACACAGGGATGTTTTCATGATCGCTGAGAAGTGCTTATACAGAGCCATGGCCTTTTCTGCTTCTCACACCTCCCCACCAGCGAGGAGGCTGGGGAAGCACAAGGAGTTGGGAGGTGACACGGCTGGGACAGCTGACCCCAGCTGACCCAAGGGATATTCCAGACCATAGGACGTCATGCTCAGCATGTAAAGCTGGGGGAAGAAGAAGGAAGGGGGGACATTCAGAGCGATGGTGTTTGTCTTCCCAAGTCACCGTTGCACGTGATGGAGCCCTGCTTTCCTGGAGATGGCTGGACACCTGCCTGCCGATAGGAAGCGGGGAATGAATTCCTTGTTTTGCTTTGCTTGCGTGCGCGGCTTTTGCTTTGCCTATTAAACTGTCTTTATCTCAGCCCATGAATTTTCTCACTTTTACTCTTCTGATTCTCTCCCCCATCCCACCGGGGAGGAGTGAGCGAGCAGCTGCGTGGGGCTTAGTTGCCGGCTGGGGTTAAACTATGACAGCACGGTAAGAGTCCATCGAGTCAGCAGATGTGAGTTGAAGACATGCAAAGGAGATACATTGAGTGATAAAGTGCAGCTGGATGCAGATATTTTAAAAGTCCATTAAAATACTTAGGAGAAAATTATCATTTTGATACAATTATTAATAATCAAATGCAATAAAGCTATACTTTGGATTGAAATTACATCATTGTTTAATGATTTTAATAGCATTGATTTATGAGGAGCGGTTAAAACTCAGACTCGGTAATTGGTGGCTCCTTGGGAACGCAGGCCAGGGGGAAGAGACTGGATGATTTCCACTGCTGCATAACAACCAGAAATAATCACATATGCTGTTTTTCCCTAATAAGATAAATGATCAGTCCAAAGAAGGAAGGGGAGGGGGAAGGATGAGCCCCTGCCAAGCCATGAGATGTGAAGGAAACTTCTAGTGGGAATTTTTTAGTAAATGCATGGAAAAATCTTGCATTTACTAAGAAATTGGTCTCTCAAACACAAACTATTCTAGCATTTTGGAGGCAGCACATTTAAGTCAGAGAAGATGTTATATTCACTGAGGTCTGATAAGAATATATATGAGCAGAGGGAAGGGATCTGTGAACATTTTTGCTGTGTGCACTGTATCTATTTTTCTAGATATTCACAACACCAAATTAAATCTGCTATCAACTCTGCAGTCAGGTTTTTGAGGGAAGAAAATGATGTTTACTGAATATTTTACTTTTTGTGCTGGACCTCATGCAGCTGAAGTACAAACTAACAGAAACTTTAGGGTTGAAATTTTCTGAGGCTCAGCCTGACATGCTGATCAGCATCAATAATCTAAAGATAGTTTTTAGGTACTTTTGAAACAACCTCTTATATCTATAATTTATCACACATGATTTCATAAGCACAGTTTGAAGTATTTGTCAATATCTTTACCTTCTCATATTTCTTTCAACAGCTCAGAAGTGACAACGATCTCAGGGCTACCATGTTCCTCCTAACAGTGGCAGCTGGCACAAGTAGCCTCTAATCTTGTTTCCAGTGTAATCTTTCAGTGCAAGAGGTTGTAACTGATCTGCTCTAATGAACACTGCATGGACACAGAAAATGAAAGTTTCCAATCCAGGCTACTTTTCTCCCTTAGACTTTTATTTGAGTAGATGTGAATAAATCACAAGGAAGGGTTTTTTAACCCAGCCAGGAAAATGTAATATCTTTTTCCCCCTGAAGTTCAGACATTTCCCTTACCCCTCCTTTTAAAACTACCCTTTATTAACCAGGAGAACAGTTACTTCCAAAAGGTAAGTCAGTCCTCTATTCCTAAACTAGCTGGATCACCTCCCACGGTGTCCATTGACTACCAGGAAGGTTTAGGACGACAGCTCCATGCAGCAGTTTGACAAGCATTTCTTCTCACTGCTCTACCAGATTAAGCCACCCCATTCTGTGTCTCCAGTCTTGCCTCTCCTTCACCGCCTCAGCCATCCCATTGAACTTGCCAGGTCCCATTGCTGGGAATTGTCTAATTTAAAGGTGACCCTACAAAGGTATAAGCCACAAGGCTGCCAAAGAAATGATCATTAAGCTATACCTGTAGATCTCCAACTTTAGACAAGTCTAACAGGTCAGATGTACCCTTTAAGTGCAGAGTTCATCCATTCTGAAAGGCATGAATTAAGTAAGCAGAATATTTAAAAAATATGTTTTGTCTTTTTCATTACTTTAGTTGTACAGATGAGCTATAACAGCAGAGACTGTTTATTCACTGATGATGTTACACCCTCAAAGTCTACTTTTGAATGTCAGCTACAGAGCAGAGTTTCCAAACTCCGCAGTCCCTTTACCTAGCTTTACAAACACTTAGGAATAGTCCTTTCTTCTTTTATTGAAAAAAAGACCCCGTCTATTATGGTTGCTAAGAAAATCTTCAGAACAGAGTATAACTAATGCAAAGAATTTGAAGCTATATCCCTGAAGAATAAACTAATCTCCTCATTTCAGTGGACTCCTCTGCCAACAGTAATTTTAAAAGCAATACTGTTATTTCACTTGTGCTTAAATCATGAACCAAAGGAAAAGTTGTATGACACTATGCAGGCTAAACACAGTCTAGGTCCCTCTGCCCACGCAATAAATCTTTCTTAAAATGGTGGGCAAACAATGCACATACAGGAACACATAGAGCAAATGATCCAGTTTAAAAGAAGGTTCAGTTATATGTTTTTTCATATTGAGGGAGAAATGTAAGACTATTTTTTTAATTTTCATTTACAAACTTACTACTACCACAACACAAATGCATTGTACCAGTGTGAGGATTGTGTCCACACATCCGTGCACAAGCACAAGTTTACTGTCCTGCAGCTGGCTTTAGGATAGGACCTGTTCTGTCTTATAAAACACAGAGGCAATGGACCCGGATAATCACAACAGCTTCTTCCTTTTTAGTTGACATTTCAGCATCAATTTTTAATTCTTTTTTCCCAAATAGAACAAGCACTTTCTCAGGAACTATTTATTTTTCTCAGCTTCAGCAGGGGTTTTGATTTGGTTTGGTTAGAATTCCCCCACTTTTCTTCTCACAGTAGTTTGCAATGAAAAGTTCGTATCTCAGCAATCTGGAACCATTTCTTTGTTTATTTATGTTACTTGGGTAAAGGAGGCTCTCAACTGAATTTAGGGTTTTCTGGTTTGGGTTGGTTTAGTGTTTTACATTCAACCGTTAAAATCTCCAGTGAAATTCAGACTAACTTTAATTTTAGATGAGACAATTCTTCCTCTAGGAAAAAGAAATATCTTCTGACCAAGTATACCATGCTGGATAAGGCAAGTGCAACATGCCAGCACTTCAGATCACGTAACAGTGTGGTTACACCACTTCAGAATTAAAATAGCCCAACTTGATTGTAGGGTGGTGTAAATATAGGCAGCCTCAATATGCTTCTTCCCTTTCCTGTGAACACAAGTTCCCATTATCTCCCTTGTGTTTGTCTGACACCATGTTGAGCCTCTTGGGAAAACTAGTCCTGCAGATTGTAATTTTAGAACTTTTTGGAGGGGTTAGTTTTCCATTTCTTAAAGCACTGGATCATGCCAGCAGTTCAGCACCAATCCTGTGGAAGAAAAGTGGCAAGATAGCCCCTTTTGATGGTGCAGAGGTGCAATTGCCTCAGCCCTGCTGCAGCCTTTCTGCAGGTCTAACCTCATTCATGTCATAAAGCTGCATCTAATAAAACACGATGAGAAGCAGAGGGAAATCAGGGCACCTTTATTTCCATTCAGGCCTGAATTTGGTCTCCTGAAGGACACTAGAGCCCTTTTTTCTGGATATGGTTTTTTTAGACTTTAGGGACATTCTCCTGAAAGATTAGCTGTTGTATGACCTAATTCTTCACGTCTCTGCATTAGTGCTCTGCCAGGTAATTCTACTGACCTTAACAGCATTACATCAGCATGAAAATGGTGCAATGGAGGGGACTAAAAAGCCCTCTGCATCGGCCTTGGTCT